ATCTTTAAAAGTTGGAAATGTTGCACCAGTCAAAAATATTGCCACCATTTAAAATTTGCATGGAACTCAAATGATAAAAATTGTTCCATAAATACTATGTTCTATTTTTTCCACTGTTAGACTTCACACATCAGCTATTACAAGTACTAAGAACTGAAAGCAGGTAAGCTCAAGATATAGTAATAATAATAACACTTTGTACTTCACTCATGCTTATGTCCAAAAATGTTCAAAACTTTTACAAACATGAGGAAAAGATTAGTTTTGAAGTTTTAAAGTAAGATTATCCGTACTTATAAACCAGAGAAATTAAGGCAGGGGAAAAAAAGGGTTATACTTTAAAATATACTTAGACATTTAAATTTTATTGATCTCACTTTTAGATTGCATCAGACCTTTAGGGTATAAAGGCACTGGACTGACTTATTAAAGGAAAAGAAAATTCTCCCCTTGCTTTGTAATATTTTTTGTTTCTGGCAAAACATAGCAAGGAGGGCAACAGTTTTTGTGGATTTGTTTGGGGGTTTTTTGGTTTTGCTTTTTGGTTTGTTTGTTTGTTGGGGTTTTTTTTGTTGTTGTTGTATTGGGTTTTTTGGTTTTTTTGTGATCTGATAACTTTCTGCAGAAGTCTTCTGATAAATGTTGACCAGGTTGTTCCAGAAGTGGAAGCTGCCACTGACATACTAAGAGATAAAAATAAGACAGGATTATGGGGAGAGGTGATACCTTTTCTTGATGAAATTTGTTTGGAATAGCTGAGGAGAAACAGATACACTTCTAAATCCTGAGTAAAAGCTTGTGTGCCACAAGACCTGTCCGTTGGCCTTTGCTGGCTGCCAGACACCCACCCAGAGGCTCTTTCACTCCTGCTCCTCAACAAAACAGAGGTGGAAAATAAGGTGAAAAAGCTGGCGGGTCAGCATAAAGACAGGGAGATCTTTTAGCAGTTACCTTCACAGGCAAAACCGGACTCAATGTGGGAAAATTAATTTATTGCCAGTTAAAATAAGTTTGGTTAGTGAGAAGGAAGGGAAAATTAAGACAATACCCTCCCCTTCTCCCTCCTGCCTTTTTCCCATGCTCAGTGTCACTCTGTTCCTGAGCCTGAGCCTGCTTCTCACTCCTGCTGGCACAGGGGGTATGGGGAATAGCAGCTGTTCTCTCCTGCTCCTCATGCTCATCCTCTGCTCTAATGTAGGTGTGGGCCTTCAGGACATCTCCACGTTCTCCAGCACGGGATTTCTCATAGATCCTGTCCCACATATGCCCCAGATGGGCTTTCCAGAGGCTCAAGGGGATCCTCCTCAGCCTCCTCCTTCTCTCCCCTGGGTGCTCACAGGCATATTTCTCACTTTTTTCCTCACTCCTAGGCAGCGTTTTGCCCTTTCTAAAATACTTTTTCCCAGAGGTGCGACCATCCCTGCTTCAGGGCTCAGCCATGTCCTGAGGTGGGTCACTGGGAGCCAGCTGGAACCAGTTGTGTTTGGCACTGGTGCAGCCCTGGCCTCACACCTCACAGAGGCTGCTCTGCACTGCCAGCACCTGGGCACCTGCCCCCAGGATGCCATTTTTCCCTCACACCTCTTCCAGTCAGCCCAGTGTCTTTCCCACAGTAAAGTTGCCTCTGCACTCTGTTGGGAAGGTTGCAGAGATGTGCAGTGTTTTGTAGATCAGAGAGTACCTTGAATTCAAAAAGTAAACTTTTGGGGTCCCTGATCTCACATCCTAGCTCCCCAGTAACCCAAGGGGACCAGGCTGTCCCAGGGCTTAGTGGCTGGTGATGAAGATATCTCTCTTCTCTGGCTGACAATCTGGATACCTTCAAGATTTCAAGGCCAATTATCCTGGGAATGTCTTCGTGTAGTGACTTTTGTTTTGTTTTGCTTTGTGGTTTGTTTTTTTTTTTTTTTCTGGACGTGATCCAACAGAAAGAGAGCAGCTTTGAGTGGGTCAGACATGGTAGCCTCCCACCAAAGCCTTTCAGAGCAGAGGATTCTCCTCTCAGGGACCTTCCCCTCATGGCTCCCAGCTACCCTGAGGGGGAGTGGCATCTCGCTTCCTGCCTCTGCACCCTGAGTGACCTGCACGGGCAGGACACCCGGCACATCCTTGGTGGTCTGAATGGCTCACAGTTCCTAATGCACCCTGCATGAGGTAGAACCCAGATGGAGGAATAGAAAGGAGGCAGAAGGGCTCTTCTCTGTGCCTGGAATTAGTGCTGGAGCTCAACCATGCCTCCAGCACGGTGGCAGATCCGGGAAGGCATTTTGTGTAGCACACAAGCAAGAAACAAACTCAGTCAACAGACAAAAGGCTGTTCAGCAACTAAGACAGGCTGTTTAAAAAACAGGGTCATTTTTGCTCCTGTTCTGTAATACAGGAACAGGTATTGTGCATGTCTGTGTAGTGCCAATAACGTGTCTCTCGTTAGTTCTCTGTAGTGGAGTTCTCTGCCATAGGGAAAATAATCAGTTAACAATTATCACAGGTGACAATGCATCTTTACATCCTATCAGCCACAGATATTTTCCACTGGTCTGTACAATACAAACTGATCAGTAATAATAGGAAGGAGCAAAGCTATTGTTGGGATAGAGCAGCGCAATGTTCACAGAATATTCGATGGGGGATGCACTTCTCAAGAGGAGTTAATAAGCAGCCACACTTGAATACCTGATGTTTATAAAGGGGAGAAATTTATACGGAGGAGTACATTATGGCTAAAAACCTATTTGATCTGGCCGAAACAAAACCTGGCCTTCATCTCGTGTGTAGAATAAAGTCTACCAGGGCCCAGAAAGAGAGATTTGTCTTTGAGGAGTGATCTGAAAGATAAGTGATGCGTCAAAGGAAAGAAAATGCAGTTTCTGCTCCTTAGGGAAAGAGGGGAAAAGGGGAAGGGAAAAAAAAGAAAGAGAAAAAATTAATACTCCTCTGTTGTGTTTTTTTTTTCTTTTTTTTTTTTCCTAGCTGTAGCTGTAGCCTCTTTCCTTTGATTTGTCATGATTTAAATTCATATAAAAAGATTTATTTCAAATAAGCCCCTTTAACTGTAGGGGCAGATTTTTTTTCCTAAAGCCTTTTGTAAGAACAAAGTAACCACTTGTCACACACAGAGACTAATGAGAGTTTAGTGTGGGTTTTAGTGTTCATTCATACGCTTTGTGTTCAGCTAGTCATAAGTTAAATCTTTAGAAATCACACCGCAGGAATCCTTCTCTTAGGGGTGGGGGCAGGAGGCAAATCTGTGGAGATATTGAGAGCTGGTGAGCGGAAACTGCTCTTTTCAGGCTTCCTAAACGGCAGCGCAGGAAATAAACACATGCAGGAAGTCGTTTGGCCTTTTCTTGAACTTAAAGTTTATACAGCAATTGATAACTGAGGCAAACTTTGTGTACTTAAACTATTGAAAATTAAATGAAGTAAAGAGAGCACGTTTAGCACATGCCAGCATGGCCTGGAGTTTCTGCAACCAGCTCATCTAAATACAGTATTAAAATCAGAAAGATTATACAGGGTATATATTTTTATAGCTAGAATGTGTCTTTGAAACCTTTTTGTATGTCTTCTCTCTGTCCTCTTTTCCTTCCATTTCTCTAATTCTCTCCCAAAGAAACTGAACTGAAGCATTGAAACAAAACTGAAAATCATGTTTATGAAGCTGTTTTCTGTGCTTCTGCACCAGACTCTGCTCTTTCATACTTTCCCTGACCTTCTCATTTATCTTGTAAGCCCTTCAGGGTAAGGATGGTCTTGGACTGTGTGAAACACCTTGTTAGGTGGTGGCCCATATTGATATTTGGTTAATGCTACATATATGGTGTGTAAAAGTTGTCTTTGAAAGGAGGGTAAAAATAAATGAAGTGTCATTCTTGAGTATAGCTTTTGAAATTGATAGCATCAATTTACGAACAAGGACATTTATGAGCATTTCAAAGAAATATTATTTGTGTTCATATTTCTCAACCTTTCACTGTATTAACAAGGTCACTGTAAATTTAATGTTTAAAAATGAACAGGTTTAGTTTTATAATAATTACAATTAGTTGGGGTAAATTTGCATAGGAAATTTAGAACACCTTTGCCAATAAAAAGATAGCAAGCAAAACCCAAATGCAGAGCAGAATATGGAGAAAAAGTACATTTGCATGTCTTTGAAGACCAGCCTAAATACCTGTTAAAAATGCATCCACTTCTATGCACCTTCTACTCTTTTTAAAAATTGATGCTTTTTGCTGCCCTAATAAAACACCTGTAACAGTGCAAGTGTTTATTAGGAATATTTTTTTATAAAACGGACTAGAAGCAAAAAGCTCCAGTTAAAGTAAAATGAGAGAAAGACAGAAAGAATGCATGTGAATTACACATCTGTAGTCTGGGTTGCTTGCAAATGAAGTTATTAAATTAATTTTTAAAAAACAATTTAAGATTTTGGATTTTTTTTCTGTGTTTTAAGTAATTAAAACACATCATGAAATTTCATAGTCTGCTTAGAAGGTTACGTATTTGCAATGTAGCTTTGTGATGGCTTGGCCTTACCTAGCCACTAGGTGGGATTTCAAGACTTCAAGAAATACATCTAAACATTGGCCCCAAACTGCCATTTACCATAACATGGACATATTGAACAGGAGTTCAATAAATGTCAGTATAATAAAAAAATATGGAGGTTTCTACCATTAATCTTGGTATTGTATCTTCTACACATTTTCAGAACATCCCCTTACTTCTATCACTTATTGATTATCCATTTGATTTATATCCCAGCATGAAGTCTTAACAGTCATCAGTCTTCCTTTTGGGCATTACAGTGACATAGGTCTTTCACTGATATCTTTGAAGGAATCCATTTTTTCTTTTTCCAGTTCCTTACAGGAAACACTAAAATTTGTTCCAGATCGTGTGTCATTATATATATGCACAGTCATGATATGTAGCTGCATTAATTGTATTCTACCCTAAAAGCTATTTTTACGTTGCATTTCTTTCTTTTTTGATAGTCCAGCTCCACAGTGAGAACGTACCAAAACAGTAAATCAAGAGTGACCATGAGCCCTGGCTTTAGCTCCCAGTGGAATAGCAGCCAACCTGCTTGGAATACATACACCTTTCCAAGAGCGAGCTTGCACTACCAGTCTCATGCTAGCTACACCTACTGTGCTGGACATCCTGCTGTAAGTAATTAAACTTTTTCTGCAGTTACCTGAATGAGCTCTGTGATACCCTGGGAGGTGGAGGTGCTCGGGGGCTGGCAGTTCAACACCCTTCTCCAGTGCTCTTTGTGTCCCACAGCAGTCAAGACAGCTCATGTGTACTAACCCTAACTCTAGAAAACAATAGAATAAGTCTTAGACATATGCAAATGGGAAAGTTTCATGACTCAGTAAAAATACATAAATTTTTGTATATTTAGCAATTCTTCTCCTTGCATGAAGTTATTGTTGTGTGCCTGGGTTTCAGTGTCAGAGATGTGGTCTGGAAAGCAGTATTATAGATGGCCTCTTTTCTGTTTCTGGTGAGCCTGCTAGATGAATGAATTATTCTTTCTATTTCAGAGATTTTAAATTGTGTGGATGAGTCAGGGGAGGAGAGCATCTCTTCTCATGATTTGATTTGTTTATACTCACTACTTTATCAATTATTTGATCAGTGGTGAACGTGCAATCTTGTTGCTAAGCAAAGACTACTGGTCTTCTGTAATTTGCATGAACTGGTGGCTGAAAAGAATGGGGAGGGTGCTCACTGTTGTTGCATGCTTTAATTTGACAACCATGAAAGGATCACAACTGCAGGCTGATGGTGTTTTTTGTCATATTGGTATAGTTGACTGCTTACAGCAGAGCCTTTTAGTTTCTGATATTGAAAGACCCTGAGAGAGTTAACGGGGGAAGATCTCATTAGTGTAAGCAATCTTCCTTTTTTCCAACTCCACCGTTTGTTTTTTTAGTGTTTGGATTTGAACTTAGCTTTGGACATTTGGACATAGAACTTCTTAAAGGACATAATATTTTAACTTCCTGCCATGTGTACATAATCAAGTTTTGCCATCAGTGAATTCCAATAGGAAAATGGGGAAGTGAAGCTTTTACTACAGAGTGGAAATTATACTCTGCAGTCATATTGCAAGATCTTTGTGATTTGATATAGATTTGCTATCTTACCTGGCAACAGACTTCTGGCCAGAAGTTTGCATTAGGATTTGTCTCAAACATGAACATGATAATTGAAATAAAGGAGAGGAATAAATCTGTAAAATCTTATCTCTTTTCTGAGGTGATGAGTTCTCAGAATGAATTAAATATCTCTATAGATTCTGCTGTTTGCTAAAATCCATTATGGTGTCATTGAAAGTGATAAAAACTGTTGTGAAGAAATAAAAGGTATTTGGCATTGGAAGGGCACGGATATTTTCCTCGTTTAGAATGATGGCTCCAAAAGAGTCCCTGTACAGCTTAATTTAACTTCAGCTGTAGGTATTCAAATCATTAACTGCTCCTTTACTTTGAAAATTTAGAATAAATGCTACCTAATTTGTGAGTCTAGCTTTGACTCTGCTAAGCAAAAGAGCATACAAGAGCAATGCTAACTGTCCTGGAAGAGAGCGTAAAATTTGAATTGAAATGTCTGTCTTTTTCGAGCTACTTCCACAGTTCCTCTTTCCTTTATTTACACTGAAGTTGATGGTAGCTGAACTAGAATTGTAGTACAGTATTTGTATATGGTATGTATACAACCTATACAATATTTTTTTCATTGAGCACCTTAATATGTAGTCATTGGAAATGATACTTCAGTCTGGAAGTTGATTTATCTGATTACTGGAAAGTAGAGATTTCAGAATGTGCAGATTTGCATAAACCTTTGTGCAATTAATCCATCCCTCAGTGTCCCTGGGTTCAGCTGTTTACAAAACTTGGCCCATTTCTTGGCTCCTGCTTATCTGAGAAGATCTGTTGCAGTGCTACTCAGCAGAGATTGGATTGACTCCCTAGGCTGCTGGTAAAAACCTGTAACAGATTAGCTGCCATTGCAATGCCAACCACTGTGATCACATATTTTTTCCATACCTTCTCTACTTTTATAATCTCCGAGGGTGAGGCCCTAAGCAGGGCCTGGGCAAGGCACTTCAGCAAACTCAGGTCCTCCCTCCTGCAACATCAGATGAAGTTCGAGTTTCCAAGAAAAACAATACCTTAATATTTGCTTGAATATCTGTTTCATTGTATATGATAAAGTTATAATTAGTCCGGTTCCTGTTTCTAAGTTAGATTTGTTTAATCTGGGCTCAAACCAACCTTCCTATGGCAAACGACGATAATGAAAGTTGGATACAGACAGAGCTCCTTTATTCGTGAATCTTCCCAATATTACATGCTCAATTGTATATCTACTTTGCTTCAGGGGATTTTATTTGCCCTCATCTGACAAAAGTTCACTAGAACAAGCTGTAGGTTGTAATGCTGTATGAAGCTGTTTCTGCAAAACCTCCCACATAGAATATGTCTAAAGATCATTGCAGTTCCTTGACACTTTGGAGGCTAACAAACTTACGAGCACTTTGCAAGTTCAAGGCAGACAAATGTCAGGGAGTTGGATCTGGCCTTGAAGTACTTAAAGATATTAGTCCCCAAAGACAGCGCCAAGAGAAAAGCTTTGGATTTCTCTACTGTTTGGAGAAAAGCTGAAGGAGACAAAAAAGATTCATTTTAATTGGGCAAAATGTAGCTAAAAAAATCCCAAACACCTCTAATTCTTTTTTTTTTTCATCTAAATGAAGGAAAAAATATCTTAAAAGAGAAATGCTAAGAGACCCTTATGACTCTGACTGGTCCTGAGAAATACATCGGAGTCAAAGGTGGGGGGTTTATTTTGTTTTATCAGAGAGTACACTTGGCATCTCTCTTCCATAGTGCTGCAATCATTGATTAAAAGCAGTCTTTCCACCCTAGGAAAGGAAAGAACAGGAAGCTTGTTTAAACAGAGTAATTTTTCAGCTCTTGGAGTTATCTAAGGGAGAAAAAGGCTTCGTATCATCCCATTCAACAGTGAAATGAGTTTTTGAACAAACAAGAAGGTGCTAACTTCTAGCCATACTGGTAGACAGGATACCCTGTAGGATCTATGTAAACTAACGTGAGTGATAATGTGGTAGATGGCCCTTACAAAGTAAATGATTTTTGATATTAGAGGCTAGAAATTCCCCTGGCATTAACATTCAGAGGCTTTCAACCAGAAAAATACAGCATGTAGTGCTCAGAACATAAGAAGATACTGAGTCATCTAACATGCTTTTTTCTTGAACTTTATTCACACAGGAAGATAAAAAATAGACAAAGTAATTCTGATTATCCCTGTTGGGCAAGAGAACTATTGCATCTATGCAGGCTTCCTACCCATGCTTTTTCCAAAGTCTGTAAGACTCACTTAATTTACCTTTCTCCACATTTTACTGGAAGGATGATAGAATTTTACAGGTCTTCAGAAATCTTGTCCATTGAATTAACTCTAACAAATGATTACTTAGACTGTGCTTTCATTTTAAAGTACTACATGTATAAAGTGGGCAAACAAAACATAGATCTCGTCAGCTTTAGACTATTTCAGCTGAAATCGTAAGGGTGTCACTTATGTCTTTCTTGAATATTCATGTAGCAGTCACAGATACCTGCCACACTCACCTCTGTAGAAGTCAGTCCTTATTAACGAAGGAATTTGGCAATGTGTTAATCTTTGACAAAGCACACAGTACTGTCACAGACTGTTACCCTGCAGGACTTGAAACCTTTGTTGCATGCCCATGGGATGATGAATTTTGTTGCATGCATTAATTTCTTCTCATGTATACATCTCTGTAGCGTGCATGATGTCTTTGAAATCCTTATCTAGATATGCAACTCTGGTGAGTTGACCTTGGCTGGACGCCAGGTGCCCACCCAGCCGCTCTATCGCTCCCCTTCCCAGCGGGACAGGGGAAAGACTAAGGTGGAAAAAACAACTCATGGGTTGGGATAAGGCAGTTTATTTAAAGCAAAAAGTAAAGCACAAGCACGTGCGTGCAAAAGCGAAGTGAAGCGAAAGACAGCACGGTTTATTCCCCACTTCCCATGAACAGCCATGGTCAGCCGCTCTCGAGAAGCAGGGCTTCAGCACGCGTAACAGTTCCTCAGCAGGCAGCCATTGGAGTCAAGCAATGCCTGCCTTCCTGCTCCTTGCCTCAGCTTTTATATCTGAGCTGATGTCACATAGTACGGAATATCCCTTTGGTCAGTTTGGGTCAGCTGGCCTACTTGTGTCCCCTCCCAGGATCTTGCCCTCGACTGAGGAAGGAATGTTACAGTGCTGATGCTGTGCTCAGCAGTAGCCAAAACACCGATGTATTATCAACACCCTTCTGGCTGCCAATGCAAAGCACAGCACTGTGAGGGCTACTGTGGGGAAATGAACTCCAGCTCAGCCAGACCCAGTACGGCAACTCAGCATATGTAAGACTTCCAGCTAGAATCCGTTCTGCACTCTAACAGGATTCAGTCATGCTCTAGTAGATCAGTGACAGCCTTCAAAGCGTGATTGGTTAAGTCTGTAAAGTTATTATTTGGAGCTCTACACATAATGTTTACAAGCTGTTACATGACTGAGGTGTCATATATGGATCAGAAAATCAGTTTCCTTAGCAGTCCCCATTCCTACAGTCTGTCCCCAGACTTCTTTCTACTAACTTCCTTAAATATGTGATTGCTTCTGAAATTATGCTGTTAGTTGGAATGTGCAAAGCAGAATTAAAAAAAAAAAAGTGATGGAGAGCTCTATAAGATGTAACTGGCATCCTTCCACTCACTTCTCTGAGCCCTAGTGGGATTTCAGATCTTTAATCTTAGGAATCTTAAGACCCAGTAGAAGGAGCTATAGCTCCTTTTACACGTTTCCACTGACTATCCTTGGACAGAAAAGCAGAAAGGGAGCAAGGCTGTTACTGTGGACAACACTAATGGAAGGTCTTACTCACTGTCAGCATGACTATGCAGAGTCCATCGGAAAAATTTCCAGTGGCAGGTAGGTAAGCCTCATTGCTGATGACAGAACTGCTGGACTGCAGTATTGCACAGCTGTAATGCCTTATGTAAACTGACTGTTCTCGTTATTGCCACACAGATTGGATTAACATCTGTACTCTTTT